ATGATTTACCATGTTGTTGTTCACATTCATAACCACTAAAAAGAAAGGATGCTGTGCTAACTGCAACAATATATTGCAATTAAACAGTGAATTTGTTATCACACTAGATGATCACACAATAAATAAAAGTGAAATGCATTTGAATACATCTTTGTACGACTAGATTCAAAATCTGTTTGAATAATCCTTTTCCATCTGCAAACATGAAACAAACAAAACATTCAACAGACTTCCGCCAAATCTAATATCATCACTTAACATGTTAGTCTTATCATACCAGTAAGAGAAACAGTATCTACTGCATTTCAATAACAGATGCATCAATCTGCACTACAAATCCTGAGTCTCTTTTTTATTCTAATCAGCTGACACTTAATACTTAACATTTACATATGTTTAGTATTTTAAAAATTAATATACAATATCACTAATGCTTTACAAAAATTTACTTTTTCTCAAAAGGGACCTCGTGAATCGGAGTCTTGGCCGAGCTGATAGTTCTTCCTTTTCTGATGGAGTTGAAATGTAACAAATATAGTATCCCTTCCTCATGCTGGATCACATCAGATCTTGGGACGGCCAATCTGATATCTGTCTGATTTCCCTGAACGAAAACTGCCCAGGAGAGAAAGGAAAAGAGAAAGAAAATGAAGGAAGGAGGAAGGAGGAAGGAGGAAGGAGAGAGAGAGAGAGAGAGTGAGAGAGAGTGTTTTAGTCTTCAAGTTCTTCTTTAACTGTCACAAAGTTGAAGGAGTCACACTGTTGTCCATTAGATATGCTTGCAGACTGATGAAAAGGGTCATCATTTGTATGACAATGAATCTGAAGTGGATCTAATTCCTGAAATGAAAACACATATCAAATGAAAATATTGGAGATCAGTTATAAACAAATGAATTGATTAACAAAATAACAAGAATCTATATACATGTTTGTATATATGTATACATTTAAACATGTGTGTATATATATATATATATATATATATATATATATATATATATATATATATATATATATATATATATATATATATATATATGGATAAACATTTAGTAAATTATATCACATTACACTATAGCATACTAAATAACTTACCTCTTCCTGTTCCTCAAAATATTTATAATCAAAGTCACTTGACTGAGATTCTTCATCAGTCATAAACATACACCTTGAACTGTCATCATCTGATATAACTGTACAATTTCCTTTGGCCTGTTGTTGTTGAGTTGGTGTCTTTTCAAAGGATTCTGTCTCTGATAAATCTACAGTTTCAGGTCTCTTCTGGTTACTATTATCCGATGGTTCAGCAGCTTCCACAGTAACTATAGCACTGTTTGCTCCTTTACATTTGTGTGTGTGCTTTTCCGACTGTGATACATTTTCCAAAGCTGCAGATGATCCTCTGCTTTTTCTAGATCCATTTGATGACTGCAGCTTATTGGCATCCTCATTTCTGCTTGTATCTAGTCTTGTTTCACTCGCCTGGTTGGTTTCCATTGATAAAGTTGCTCCACTAGTATCCTTGTGCATTGACTGCACATTATCAAATAAGGGTGTATTAGGTGCTCTTACACCTACAGTATCTACTGTTGTTAAGCCGGAAATCTGAAGAACTCGACCAGCTTTAAAAAGTGAGGACAGATTCTCTGTTGGCACTACTATCTCACCCCTGTAATTTATGAATAGTTCATTATATACTCATATGTGCACATTCAAAGCTAATTGTGCATTTGCAATATCTACAATGCCCTGCATCTTATGACATTTATGATCCACTAAGTATCAAAGAAAATTCAACTTACATGTAAATGTAATCTATTATTCCCTTGAGATCCTCAAACTGCATGTCGAGCGGCATGATGATGATGGGGTGTGGACTGGGGTTGTTCTGCAACACTCTTTTGAAGTAGGGACTCATGGCGGATAACACTGCCTTCAGGAGAAACAATGATGGAAGGAAAGTCAGAAACCACTATTGCACTGCTAGTCTTTAAGTAGAAATCTTACATAGCAACACAATACGTGTATATTTCTCAACCATACATCACGTTGTTGAGCAATCTAAAAATATATCTTATTTATAATTATAATATAACTGGTAATCTACAGAAAGAGAAATTGGTATGATGATGAGTTTAAGGCTTGGTCTGTGCATGTAAGTGAATATCTGTGGCTCAAGTACAGAGTCAGAATCTATGATGGTCTTATCAACAGGTATTTTAATCCTTCTCTTACATATACTTTCTCAAAACTCACCTTGTGTGCTTTTAATGACTTTCCTTCAGCTGTCAGTGTCACATCAGCGAAGGTTGCGTCTTCTAGCAGGCCCTTTAGGATTAGAGTCTGGTGCTTGCTGTGTTCTGTACGATATATATCAGAAATTATAAGCAAAGAAAAAAATAAATCAAATCAAATCAAATCTCAGTTTGCATGGAGTCTGCAGGTACTGGTTACTGTACTAGCCATAATAGCAAATTTTACTTGATTAGACTGATATAATCAAAATCATTCAAATTGTCTTACTCCGTGCACACTATCAATTTCTAAAGCAAAGTCTTAGATCTATAAAAACAAAACAAAACAAAAAAAATCTAGCAAATTTAATACTAAATGTATATATGGAAAGGCAACAAACAACTATCTACAATTATGTGGGCAAGTTAACCCAGTACTGTCTGGTAGAAATTTGGTAGAAAGGACAGATGTTTGTTACAGAATGTCCAGAAACTTGTCCAGCTCATGATAGGGTACATAAAACCTCATCCAAATACAAAAAGGGACAGGATATCTTTACTTACGGCTGCCTGGCGTTTGTTTGCTTTTTGATCTTGACCAGGATGGTGTGAGTACTGGCTGGCCGTCATGCGAAAGACAACTGAAAGATATGAATTTATTTCTTTCCAGTTACTGAAAATCATGTAAAACTAAACTAATAGCCATATATTACTTAAGCATATATTAAGTTACTCATAATCAGCTTTTATAGGTTGTACTTCTACTAACAATGAAAATAATATGAAAAAAGAAAAAGAAATACTTAAGAAATGGCACTTTGTATATAAAGATAAAAAATTAGAAAGAAAGAGAGAGAAAAGAAAAACATGAACAAAAATAAAGAAGCAAAAAGAAAAGGAAGAAAAAAGAATTTTTAAAAAGTCAACTGAAACAGAATAACATAAATGGAAAATAAAGGGGGGAAAAATACATATACATATATAGAAACATACATTCATACACACGCACACGCACACACACACACATACATAGATAGATACATACACAATAATAAAATAAATTCAATAATAATAAAAGTAACTACCAAGTAGAGATAGGAGTGGAAGTAGCCTCTGGTCTCTTGTGCACTAATGGTACGCTCTTCGGTGTATGATCCTGCTTGCTGGTGCTCGCTGCTGATGAATCGTCACTATCTATCCTTCTCTTCTTGCTCATGGTATTCTGTAATAATAATATCAATTATTAGGATCTGACTTTGTAAATGCTTATATATGTATAAACGGAGATATGAGGGATTTACATGTAACTGGTAATTTAACGAAATATAAATTCATTATATGAAAAAAACAATAATCTTATATTCATAGTAGAAGGGACCGGATCTAGACACTGTTAACTGTAATAGTTTCTATCAGGTCAGGTCTCGGTGATGGTAACACAAACATGATCACACAGCAATAGTAATTGAAATAAAAACGATTGAATACAATATATGACTTCATCAAAATCATAAAATAAAACATGTTTATTTACTCACATAATACTTGATAAAATGTACTTATAAAGGGAATTACGTTGCAAGAATATTTCCAAGTAATAGTCCACCTGAAGTGTGAGAAACTTCCATAAACATCTTCAGCAATGAATATGCACTTCCTTGGTAGGAATGAATGTTACTCCAGCGTTAAAGTCAACCATGAGAAAAAAACTATAACCGTTTGATATTGTTTCTAATTGTAAAGTACTTCAAAGTTCAGTCTTTTGCAACCTTACCAATTACTGTATGTCTTGAAGATTTCTTACCCCTCAGTTGTTCTAAATATGATTTTATGTATTATGCAAAAATGTATGCATGTATACAGTTTCACAGTTTTTTTATTAAGAAAATTTTTGCTTACTTTAGACAGGTTTAATGACGAAAACTTTTAATTGGTTTACTTTTATCTTTATTCTTTTCTTTTGGATGGGGGTATACAATCTAAAAAAATATATATATATTAAGAAATAAAGACAACCCATACAATTAAAAACCTCGGGTCACACTTATTTACTCAAATAAATCTCTACACTGCCTGCTGGACATAATGACTAGTTTAAAAAAAGATTCTTTGGTGATTCTAATCTAAATGTAAGTAGATTTTACAAATATCGACTATTAACATATATGACGAATCTCTCTCTCAGTATGGATGATATTTCCGACAGGCTATTACCCACCATATGGACATCACTTAATATACTTTGTTGTGTAGGAAGCATATCTGGGCCAACTGCTTCTTGCACTACTGTTGGTCTGTTTAACTGACGCGCATGACACTGACATGGCTCATGTACTGCAGCATGCGAGATTGGCGGTTTTGTGGCTTGTTCAGAGGAAGGGGACGGATTGGTAGTATTACCAGCCTCCCCTATATAATCGTGATCTGTGAGGCTGCTAACAACTTCAACAGTTTCCACCTCCACCACCTCCTGGAACCCTGCAAAATTAGATACATTAGAGAAACATCCATGGAAAGTTTTTACTTTACGTGTAAGGTCAAATTTCATTACTTAATTTGAAAGTGCTGAGACATATTTTTATCAATCATTTTCACTGAAAAGTAATTGATGAGGTTATTATTAACCATGAAAACAGCACATGCACATCCTTTATCCAAAAAAAAATCTATAAACAGATTCAGAAGATATCAATATATAACATACACTAATATATATCTTATATTTAGATTCCAAGTTCCAAAATATAATTGCATTATGATCTTGCTTACAAGCAATACAAATCATCATGGAAGGAAAACACAATATGGGGAAAATTTACTGAAGGAAATGAGCTTTAATAAACTATCCCGCTTCTAATTTTAAGCAAAACCAAATATCTTTCTTATTCCCTACTTATAAACCAGCTAAGTTTATCTCTCTACCTTGAATGCTGGTGAATTGTCTCGTATATTTCTGAGATCAAATCCCGAAAAGCCGAACGCTCTAAGCTTTATCACATAAAAATGCAAGGAGGGGGCTGACGGCATGTTTGTAAAGCCACGACTAAGCTTATAGGTATGCTAAGAATGGTCCAGAGACTCAATCAGAAGAGCCACATTGAGGCAATACGACATTTAATCAGATTTCATTATGGAAATACTTTTTATCTCTAAATATTTTTCTTTAAATATGCTACGTTGTGTCTGATACATACCATTATAGATTTTCTTCTTACAGAACTAAAGTAATACAGTTACCTATATCTTCTGCAAGGGCTCCCTCAATGTCCACCATTCCCGGAATACTATCCACATCAGTTTCTAATAGTGTTGCCATAGCCTCTTCTGTTTTTGTCAGTGTTACTATGGATCTCTTCCCATCTGTTGAAAATAAAAATTTAATCAATGTGTCTTTTACTATCTATTTTTCCATTACCATATTACAAACTGCAACCCAAACTATCAATGTTCTAAAATACTATAGCCATATGCATATGTATTAAAAAAAAACATTTTAGGGGTCTATAGCTGGATCTCACTGTTACCAAAAGAATCAACACATTGAAATAAACATCATATTAAAAAAAAATAAAATAAAAATCTGTAATATAGAACAACACATAAAATCTATATATGTAACATATAATATACATAGAAATATATATAGATTATATAGATACATTATATAACAGTGGGATCCAGCTATAGACTCCCAAGAGTGTTCTTTTAATACAGGGTAACAATATGCAGATCATATATATTTATCTATTTTTTTTTATCTTTTCATCTGTATCAATAAATCACTTGCTTACTAAACAAACAACATCCCTTCCCCTTAGTTCTGTTGTTTATTATACAATATATTTTAATTGTATATCATAGTACAAAAGCGACAAACAACCCCGTTATAAAGCCTACGTAACCCAACCTTGACAAACAGACCATTACACTTACAAGTTCCTACAGACAAATTCGGTGAAGCATAGCAACCAATGCCTACACAACTCCACGGCATTTTTACGCAAAAGAACTTTAAATGCTGGGAATGACATTAAATCCATAAGCACGCAGTAATTTTTTGAACGAACGTGGGTTTGCTTTAACCAATTATTTGTTGCTGGGTGTGGTTGCAACATGCATTACCAAACAGATAAAGGTAATTGGTAATTGGAATTGGTGATTCAATGCTTGGTCACTTCGAAGGATCATCGGTCCAAATTTCTAGAGGTAAAGAACATGGATAAGTTTTAGCTGACCAACTTTTAGTTTCACTTCATAACACTTTATCTACAGTTTTCAACATATCAAAGTCGCTCACAATAATAAATTAATTTTTCATTACTATACTAGAGGTTTGTGAGATATGGGTTTGTTTACACCAAGTGGTTTTCGTTGTCATGGCAACCTCACCTTGTGACATAATGCTACGTGACATCTATGCTGTTTACAATTAACTTTTACCTAATAAAAACTATATAAGCTCTTAATTCTTCCATCAAGAATTCCAAGCTAAAAACGCATTTACAATCAACTGACATTTAACATGAACTATCACCACCCACTTACCTGTCTTCTCTAATTCCTTCTTGTTTGAAGTCACTTTCTTCTTCACCAGTGCCTTAAAATCAATGAATTTCTTTCGCATATCATCTGCGGTTCTTGGTATGGGACTCACGGCATTCACAGCATTTGCAATTGCCTCCCATGCTGCTCTCTTGGCTTGCTTGTTGAGTGTTGTTGGTCCTTCACCTCTTGAGTGTATTACTGCTATTCTTTTCGTTGCCTCTCTCATCAAAATAAATATTTCTTCATCCTTAAAATTCGCCTTTCTCCTCTTGACAGGCGGGGTTGCCATCTCGCTGTGTATGGCAGACATCAAAGAATGACCGACAACAAAATCGAACCTGGAAAAGGCTCACAAGAATGCAAAAGGAAGAGCACAAGTTGTATTACGTCTGACCGCACTCTTTGTTTACGTTCAATCAGCTGTTTTGGAAAATCGCACGTGATTGGTTGGATCAATTTGTTATCCGCGCGGCAATTGGTCAACACAAGATACGACTGATCCTACTGAACGCCGTGGATATAGCACGCTCCCTTACGACCGATATTAAGATCTACCCTAAAAACCCGCGCTGCCAAAATCGTACGATCACCTAAAGGCCGCAACTTTAGGGGCGATCCTAAGGGAGTCTTATGTAAACAGACAGTCGACAGTCGATAGTCTACGAATAAGTCTACCCTTCGTGTGATTTCGAGTTACTGACAAACATTTGCAGGAAAG